GGCCAGACACCCAGGATGACCCAGCTGTACCAGCATACAGGGCGAGCAGGGGCCACCTTGATGCGCTCGTAGATGTACTGCACCAGGAGGAAAAGCTCAATGAAGTAGTCAACGGTGACGGTCATGATGGCACTGCCGAAGACGGCAGTGGAGAGGGGGGGGAAGAAACGCTGGCCGAAGAGCATCCCAACGCCCAGGAGCAGTGCGATGGGGATCCACACCGTCGGTGGGTGGTAAAACTGCTCCATCACCACCAGCGTGGCCACCGCCAGCAGCAGCCCCAGGAGCAGCCCCACCATGAAGAGGCCGACGCTGCGCACCAGCATGGTGACCAGCCCACACAGGACCCCGATGCCCAGCCCGATGCCCACTGAGGCCTCCACACTCAGCTGCGTGTCCAGTACCCTCTCCTTGTAGCACAGCATGAAGATGATGATGGAGCCGAACATCAGTCCCGTCAGGAACATGACTGCCTTGAAGCAGCGGTAACCTGCGGAGACACCACTGCAGTCAAGGGGAGGACAGCCAGCAGCCCCCCGGCTTCCCCCGCCCTTCTCCCCACTTGCCCCACCAGCCGCTAGGCTGGCCTGGCTCACCGAAGAAGCAGTAGATGATGCCAAAGAGGCAGCACATGGCACACACCACTGAGGGCACCACCTGGTAGCGACGCTCGATTTCCTGCTGGCAGCTGTACCCCCACTCCTGGCCCGGTTCGTGCGGCACCAGCTTGAACCGCAGTGTCTGCACAGTTGCAGTCATGGCTCTGGGGACTTCCGGGAGAGGCATCAATATCTCCGCTCCTGCCCCATGTCTCGCTGGCAAAACTGTGCCCTGGCACCCACCCCAGCTGGCAAGAGAGAGAGAGAAGGAGGATGGAGGCACTGCCAGCACGCGCCCAATGGCGATGCCCACCACTCGGCACCCAGCCACCAGAAAACCCGCTCCGGCCCCTCGCTGCCTGGGTGGGAAGGGAGGGAACAGAGGAACAGCCTCACCCGCCCTGGCCCGCGCGGGCGCAGACTGTTACCCAGAGCGTAGCTGCAGGGGTGCGCCATCCCCGGGGAGCCCGTCCATACCCCTGGGGAGCTTTGCCGCGGGGACGCGGTGCTTTATAATTTGTCTGCGGCTTCAATTTCCTGCCCCTGGCTCTCCGGCACCCTTTCCCTGCTTGATTAAAGGGAGACTTCCACTACCTGGTATTTTCTGCCTGTGAAGTAATTATGCTTGGTAATTAAGTCACCCTCAGTCTTCTATTTTTATAGGCTAAACAGATTGAGCTCTTAAAGCTTGTACTCCAAGGCATTTTCTCCAATCCTCTAATCATATTTCTGGCTATTTTTCAGCCCTGCTCCAGCTCCTAGTGCCCTTGCAAAAACAAAGTGGGCCCCTGGGCTGGATCCAGCCCTCCCACGCCGACCCACGGGGCCACAGGGGGACCAGCCCTGGCAGGCGCTGCCCCTTACCTGAGGGCTCACCCATAATGCTGCGTCCGTGCCAGGACAGCGAGCAGGAGGGCACCAGACCCCCCACAGCGCCTACGCAGATGGAGGGGTCATAATCCCCTGCAAAGACTGATCCAGCTCCAGCTTAAACCTAATTACAGTGGCCGTCTGGCTGCTCCCACCTGGAGCCAGTTCCAGCATCCCTTTGCTCCCCTGGTGCCTTCCCAGGCTCAGCTGGTTTAGGATGGCTTTATTGTCACCCATTGTCCACACACCAGCGCTGGTCCTTCCAAGTGCCACGTTGAAGCAGCCGGCTCCAGACCGCTCACAAAAGCAGAGCAGTGGGAAGGGGCAGGGAAGAGAACAGAGGCTGCAGTCATGCCTCTATCGCCCAGCACCTCGCTGCTCCCCGGGCCGGGCTCCACCGGCACCTCT